TATAGATGAATGAAACAATATTTATGTAGAGTCGGCATGATTGATATATCAAAGATTAAAAACCAAATTATAAGATAATATAATCTTGAAATGATTTCAGACTCAAAAGGTTGATATATATAAATAAATGCATGACACAATTTTTCTGTCTTAACACGATAAAAGGTTAAAATCTTTACATTATTAATAAAAAGAAAAACAACAAAGGGTATACAAGAATGTTTGGATAAAAAAGGGGGGTCTTTTTTTTTCAATTGCCATTTTTCTCTATTTCTTTTGGACCCTTAGTATAATCAGATGATTTAATTTCTACAAATCTATTGTTTTGATAGTAAATAAACTTTCTTGTCGCTAATTTTTTCTTCTTGTCGCTAATATTTTTCTTCTTGTCGCTTCTTGTCGTTAAAATTCTTCTTGTCGCTAATTAGTGACCAAATTGAACAAGCGTGCCTTCTTTTACTTTAATTTACCTTCCTTTATTTCACGTAGCAACACAAATAAAAAAAAGTGCCAATCTTTGCTGCATATCAATTTTTGTTCCCGATAAAAATATATGTCATGCAACATAATCAACTTTACAAATTGGGAGAAAATCAAGGTGTTCCAACCATTGGTTAGCATTAAAAAAAATGAAAGGATGGCGTAATTACAAGTTTATACCCTGACGACGCTGAAAATCGAAAATTCACGCATTTACCTATCATATGAAGATACGATGAGGTGATAAACTTAACAATTAATAATTTACCTGATTCATTATCATATTCACATTATATTGATACGTCTTAGTTCGTCTGTGTTAGCTCATTTCAAACAAGTAAAACAATTACAGCACCATCCGTTTATCTTTACCGATCGCCTCTCAGTTCGCGCACTGAGCATGTCAACTCTGCGGTTGTGAGTTGAACCCCGCACGTGGCATGTGCCTTCCACTCCAAACTTAATTGACTATGATTTGTCAGTTTAAGTGCAGAAGGTCGGTTGTTCTCTCCGGGTACCATGGCTTCCACCATAAATTAAAACTGATCGCCACTATTATAGCCAATAGTGATGAAAGTGACGTTAAACACTAACAATCAATCAATCACATAACAAAAACCTAAGCAGTCAATGAACCGTAGAAATGAGTTCAAGGACAGAGGACAATAGTCATATAACAGACGGAAGCTAGGAAATTAAATAAAATCATTCTAAAAGTAAGTTTACGTATATATGTTAATTTTTTTATCATTCAACTGTTAACATAATAATGTTTTTGGTTCAGCAAATCAAAATGGCTGCCTTTTTAATGTGTATTATATGTCCGCTTCGAAGTACAAAAGTTCTAAATATTCCTATCAGAATCGAAATAATTCTATCATTTTATCCTTTATGCTAATTTTAACATGGGTAGGCATTATATTTGTCAACGCTCGGTACAAAGATATTGACAAATATAATGCCTACCCATATTGAAATGAGCATAAAGCATGACATGAAAGAATTATTTCTTAATTTGGAACAGCTAATGGTACATAAATACAGTTATTCCTAGGCAAAGTCAATGGCGTATGTTTATGACGTCATGCAAATTTTCGTTTTTCTTTTTTTCGGTGTTATTTTTTTTAGTAAATGTTCCTGAGTATTTAAACTTTTAAAAGTTTAGCAACTGCAAATTTAAAGCAGGAGCAAATGCTAGAAAATTTTAGAGCGATAAAAAAGTCACATAAAAAACAATTGTTAACTTTAATTGATATCAGTTGATACTATACATTTATTGACTTTTGATGAGGTTGATACATAGAGATTAATACATGGCCTTTTTCATAGTTTTTGCATATGTGTAACGAGCAGAAGTAAACTAGCCATAAATTTACACCCAGGCTGATAACCCATATCAGGGGACCTCTCGCGAAAGTTACTTCCGGTATTTCCGGAGTCGCCTGCTTACAAATAATATCTGACACACAAAGACATGACAGAGGGTGATCGGTTTATTAATGTTGCAACTGTGCTATTGACCTTTTCAAATTGCATTGACCGTATATTCATGTGTGATATACAGTCACTGACCCTATATCGCCTTGTTTATGACGTTTACAATGCGTTTATATAAGCTGGTTCTCAAGTTTATGCGTCGTCCTGAATATGCATGAAATATTTGCCACTGGACGTTAAGCAACCAACAATCAATCAATCAATCAATCAAGTTTATGCGTTCCGTAGAGTTTTATTTATGACGTCAATCAGAATCCAGGTTCGCGGAAATTTTACGTCATCCGCTTCAAATTAAAAAATGATGGTTTTGACCCCAAATATTTCATTTGGAACAGTTGTAAGAGTTGCAGTATATAAAGAATAACCATACATTGTCTCTAAATGTAAATTTTATTTGTACTCGGTTCAAAAAAGATTAATACATGTTATTTGCCTCATATAAAAAAATTGTCGGAAGTATATGATAAAAATATTAATACATGTCCTTTTCCATATCGGCCCGGGTGTCATCCCTGGACCCATATTAGCCCTCGACTAACGTCTCGGGATCGGCGTTTTGCATTTGCGCTGATTTGCATTTCACTTGCGTCGATTTTTTCCTTCACTTGCGCCGATTGTGTACAGGTAAATTACAGGTGAATGTTATTTTTATTTATCCTTATAAACCACTTCCGTTAGCCAGTTGTACATATGTTATGTATTCTCAATTATAACATGTATAATACTTTTCCGACTTATTTGTCTCAATTATCATCAAACCAGTAGCGGTATGCACGTCATCTCTACTTTTTGGTAAACCTGGCGTATCCTTACGACGCTCACTGTAAACAACTAGTGATGCATTCTTCAAATCCTTAGGCTCGAGATGGCTTTCCTTCATTCCCTTTAAAAGACGAAAACCAAAATTTTTTTTTAAATAAATCAAAAGTCGATAAGAATTTTAATATGTTTAAAGTTCTATGACCAAACTATTTACTGAGGGACAATTGAACGATATTTAGCTGCATGCATAGTTAATGGCTTGTATTGAAAGAAAGTCAATATGGCAAAGCAAGTAAGTAAGTAAGTAAAACTTTATTTCAATTCGGCATGTAATAAAACAGTCAAACATAAGCTCTCAAGAGCTTTTTACCGAATATAATAACATAATACATTAGAAGCAAATGTCGCATAGGCTCAAAATACAGAAAAAATGCTTACCTGTAACTCAGTTGTAAATATCTTTGATGGCCTGCTAGGTACATCTCCAGATTTTTTCCTTTCTCGTACCCGGAGTTCTTTTGCCTCTGTCTTTCGGTCATCTGCTACATGGTTATGTTCGTTCTGTGTTTTGACAATAGTCAGACCATCAGAATCCGTGGTGACTCTGGCTTTACACGACTTAATGGTACATCGGTAAGCTATGTTATTATGTTTCAGGACACTGGCCTGCCCATATGTATGGCCATCGATGATCAAAGAATTGACTCCTCGGCTCGTTTCAATGTGCAATATGTGCATCGTGTCACAACGAAGTTCCCGAACAATATGAACAAAAAATAACTTAAACATAAGTGAACACCGTTTATATCCAGATTTTACCACTATACCTAGAAACATGTACATGTATTTACTCACCCGTGTTAAAATGCAAATGCAAATAGGAGCAAATATAGAATCGGCGCTAGTGATAAAAAAATAAAATAGGCGCTAATGAAAGAATCAAATTGGCGCAAATGAAAGATCGAAAAAATTTTAAAATCGGCGCAAATGTCATACGCCCCTTGGGATGATACCCAGGCCGATATGGAAAAGGCCATGTATTAATCTCTATGTATCAACCCCATCAAAAGTCAATAATTGTACAATATCTCAGTCAAATATTTTACTATGATATTGCGTTTTTAAACTTTAAATTCAATTTCCCAACACATAGAAAAATGGGACTTACATCATTATAACACTCACACGACGATTTGAGTCAAATTCACTCAAATTCATACCATGGGATTCTCGATCGTAAACTACATGTTTATGTAAAACCGGACAAGTTGAAGATATCTATGGGAAATGGTAATACAACTTTGCTCATTGCAAGTCATAGGAAATATAATACATAGTGCGTTGATGAAACCTTTAGGACAAAACAGATCTTTCCAAACAGAAAGAGGTTGTTTTAGGGTGTTTTTTTTATCGGAAATGCAATATTGCAAGAAAATATCATGATGAAACATGAAATAAAAGGTCAATCATTAAAAGTGGAAAAGGGGGAAAGGAGTAGGCCCGGTAAGACCCCTTTTTGGCTCCAAAATATAGCATTTTTACAAATTTGTTAAAATGTAAACTTTTAGCTATTTATTGGAAAGTAGAATACTTCTGTTCCATAAATGGGCTGTTTTGACAATACAATGCACATGCATCAGGTTATAGCATCATAAATTCATGCAATATGACTGAAATCTTCACAATTTTAGCATTTGTGCTAATTTTAAGACGGTTTTTGTCTAAAATGGAAGTGGCCGCATTTGTGTTCAGTCTTAATATTTAAATATATGTTGTATTTGATGATAATACATAACATATATAAAGGTTGAGACTGAACACGAATGCGGCCACTTACATTTTAGACAAAAACCATCTGAAAAGTGACGTTTTATGGCATATTTGATATATTTTTCATATTTAAGCTTGAATTTGAGCGTCTTTAATGACCAAATCAGTCCAAATCTTTTACATAAACTGATTGAATAGACTGAAGTAGACACTTAAGTGTTTAAAAAATGTCAAAAATCTTTCATTAGACGTACTTCAAATATTAGGCCAAAACTAGTCCTTACCAGACCTTCTCCTTTATTATGTATTTTTTTGCTTATTTGCTAAATTTTAACCAGATAACCTTCTACATTTGAAGAGTTTTTCGGTATCAGTTTGTACATTTTCGTATTGAGTCAATCATGTCTTTTAATGTTTAAAAAGCTATAAAAAAAACTTTCGTCTTAATTCAGGTTGCGTATCATGTCCAAGTCGTATGTGAACTCTTTTACCTGTATAAACTAGTTCTGCACCACTTGGACAATCTTTCCTTCCCCATCGTATGTATGTCACACCTGAAATGTAATTAACTGTTGACACAAAGATATGTCTCGCCTTTTTGTAATTTTGATAGTATAATGCAAATATTGAATCCAAATGGCAATATTTAAACATGCAAACTATGCAAAACATTCAAAGTTAAAAGACCATGATTTATGGTGCATGACCAAATAACCCAATGGAAATGAGAAATGCCAATACTTATAAAACTGCATACCAAATACCATTGACTTATCATAAGTGGTTCTCTTTACAATATCTTAACAAAAACTTTAATTTGTAAACAATGTAAAAGTTTCAAAGTCAATGGACGACCAAGTCCATGCTGAGGGTGTGGGGCCATATAATCATAATGGAAAAGAGATTTAATACAACTGCATACCAAATATTAACATTAGCGGTTCCGCTTAAACTAATCTAATCACAAACTTAACAAAAAAACTATGTAAAACATTCAAAGTCAACAGACCATGACTGAGGGGGCGGGGGCGGAGGCAAATTATTTCCATGGAAATGAGTTGTGCCAATGCTAATGCTTCTACATACTAAATGTCACTGACCTACCACTAGTGGTTCCCCTTAAACTGACCTAATCACAAACTAGTACATGTAAAGTAAGCAAAAGTTTAAAAGTCAATAGACCATGACTGAGGGGGCGGGGCCAAATAATCTCCATCGACATGATATGTGCCAATGCTAGTACAATTGCATACCAAATATTATTAACATACGACTAGTGGTTCTCCATAAACTGACCTAATCACAAACTAATATATTGTTGACGCCGTCGAAAACTATGGAACGCCAACACTGTCTTGTTATGCCCATTTTCATTATATGATGTGCATTTACCTTTATATGATGTCCACTTGTCATTATATGATGTGCAAACACCTTTATATGATGTGCAAACATCCTTATATGATGTGCAAACATCCTTATATGATGTGCAAACATCATTATATGATGTGCAAACATCATTATATGATGTGCAAACATACTTATATGATGTGCATATATACTTATATGATGTGCATATATACTTATATGATGTGCTTATATACTTCTATGATGTGCAAATATACTTATATGATGTGCAAATGTACTTATATGATGTGCGAATGTACTTATATGATGTGCAAACATTCTTATATGATGTGCAAACATTCTTATATGATGTGCAAATGTACTTATATTATGTGCAAAGATCTTTATATGATGTGCAAATATACTTATATGATGTGCAGATATACTTATATGATGTGTACATATCATTATATGATGTGCAGTTACCATTATATTATGTGCAAATATCTTTATATGATGTGGTTGTGTCATTATATTATGTTCTTGTAATCTTATATGATGTGGTTTGGTTTACTTCATTATATGATGTCGAAACGTCATTATATGATGTGCTTTCATCGTCGTTATGGTCAATGAACATGATTACGATTAGAATGATTACTGTCTACGTCATAACTGATTCCGATCTGCTTCTGTAAACTATAAACCCAGCTCAAATATGTGTCTATCGCTAGCGAGAGTGCAATTAATAGGAAAAATGAGACAATGCAATTTAACAAAATCAACGTTTCAAACATTTCGGAGGGAGATTAAGATCAATTAATACAGGAGCTAATTGGAGAAATTTGCGGCTGTGGCGAAAATATGATAAAACAAATTTTGAGGCTCTTTATAGCTTGCTATTTGGGTTAAGCAAATGCTACGTGTTGAAGGTCGTACTTTGACCTATGATTGTTTACTCTTACAAATTATGACTTGGATGGAGAGTTTTCTCATTGGCTCTCATACCACATCTTCTTATTTCTATTCATTGCAAAATGCACCATTGAACTCACAGTCAGTTTGAAAATATTTCACAACAATAGCTATAAAATTATCTACTCGTGCATAATATGGCGAGATGGTTTGTTTTAAAAAATGTTAATTGAATAATATAAATGGTAAGATGTATAATGTAGTGTTACTCCTACAAAACCATACAAAGCCGGTAATATTTGTGATATGACGTATACATGTAGTGTTTTGTACTTCCTTAATTTGTCTTTGAAACAATCTTTTTTCCACAGAAAAAGCCAAAATATCCAAATTTGGAGACCGCATGCTTAGTCCACGTACTGCCCGCGAAATGCGAAATGGTCAGGTTGGGTAATGTTCACATATTTGTAAATACAGATTGTTTATTTTCAACTTATTTTAATGGGTTTTTTTTTTAATTGCTAATAAAATTCTGCAACTTGAGTATGACAACAGATTTGGAGTGGCGTCAACGGTTTCTGAGATACAGAGGGGTTGATTCCTGGTGAAGTGTTTTGAATCTTATTTTTCATCCGATTAGATGGGATTTTTTTCATTGTGTACTCATTTTGATCCTTTTCGGTAATGTCAAAGGATTTTACGTAGTTCATACGGTTATTTAGTTAAAAGGAAAAAAAAACAAAAAACACTGAAAATCACACTTTGCCACACTTTTTCAATTTAGGGTATTTGATATTTTTATTTTCCAACAGAGATGAATGTGGTGATGCCCGTCTTTTGCATTATGTTCCTCGTTTTCGTCTCTTTAAAGAAAGAATTAAATGCATTAAACGTGTCCAAATCCTTACTGTGTCCACCTTATTACTGTGTCCACACTCTTTGTTTCAACACTTGCCCAATTGTTCCGCGCTTTCGCTGGCATCTTCTAGTAATTATAATTCGAAATACCTTGCTTGCTTGTGACAATGGTGTTCGACAACGAGTAAACTTATCACCTTTTCTTTTCTATTTTCTTTACTTTTGATTGACTAAAAAAAATTCTTAGTGAGTAAAAATATTACAGGACTTAACAGAACTATACCAGAAGATCTGGAAAGAGAATTAGAAATATATCTTAAATTTTTTATACCTCCTGACTAAAGACTTTTGAAACCTCTCTCTCTTGTTTTGTATATATTGTAAAGTTATTATTGTTATCTCTGTACTGATGTCATACATTGACTTTATGAGAATAAAGATATAGATTTAGAGGCCATAACTATACCGGTATGGATGATTGATTGATTAATTTGTTGATTGATTTATATTTACCGCCACTTTCAACACTTTCATGCTATTTCGTGGCGGTGAGTTTATATTGGTGGAGGAAGCCGAAGTTCCCAGAGAGACCACCCAACCTTCGTTTGGAAAACTGACAATTCTGGTCAATTAAGATAGGAGTCGAGCTTACCTGCCACATGCGGTATTCGAACTCACACACCTAAGTGTCGACAGACAAGTGATACAGTAGTTCGACTATTCACACCACTCGACCAGCGAGCGCCCATCTCTTTCATCCGAAATGCTTTAAAGGAGATATGGAATGAACTTCAACTCGGTGGTTTTCATTTGCTTTCAGCTTTTTATTATGTTTTCGTGCATATATTTCACAAATGTTTTTGGAAAATGTTTGATTCCACATTTCTTGAAAGAGATTTTATATTTTCAGAAGGGGAGCGAAATAGTTTGTTTCCATTTTAAATCAGGGAAAAATAAAACAATAATGAAATTAAAAAAAAAATAACCATGTTCTTTTTTATTAAAGTTTATCAAGGAAATACACGTGCTCCTACCCACACTACAGTCGGTGTCTAACAAATGATTAATATATAATGTACAGATCATCTGTCTAAGCTTTGGTTACAAGGATCTGACAACACTTCGTTTTACTTTCTGTCCTGGTTAATATTACATCAGCCAATAAAATTTCAGCCTTCATATTTTTAAAGGTGTGGATCAATCCGACAAAACCAGAGAATCCCAATGGTCTTGAATTGAGCGTTTTCAGATCGGCGTAAGCAAAGCTTGAACACACAATACCTGTAATCTAATTAGATTGGTGTCTAAATGAACTTAAACACTGCATTTATTTATTGTTTACTGAGACCTGTTGTTTTCTCTTACAGATAGAGAGTTGTATTTTGAATTTTTCAAAGTGAAGATTTACGGCAGCGGCTTTTAATATTTTGCGTTTATCCTGGAAACTATAATAGATTTAAAAAAACAAATAGTGCAATGTGTCTGAGTAAACTCTATAGTAAAGGTCCTTTTTGGGCAATTTTGGCTCTTCAGAGTTTTGTTGTTTTATTGGCTATTATCTTGATAACTTATCTATAGAGAAACCTTTTCTTGAAAACTGGTATAGACAAGAACAGATATAATCAAAGTAGTGAAGTACTGATCATCGGATGACCGCAAATTCTTGTGGATGGTCTCAAGCACTTGTCCCAGAAAAAAATCATATCTGTACCTGAAAGTAATGTTAATGTACAGAGATATATTTTTTTTCTGAGACAAGTTCGTGCGTGGATGATGAATAAATGTTCGGGAATTCAACCTCACCGTAATAACTATTATATTGTAGTGGTACAAATTATATATTATTAATCTGTGATCTAAAAAAAAATATTTTTATGAGTATTCATTGAAGAAATAAACTTATAACAAGCGATAAGGAATGTTATTTTGCACTCTATAATGTCCGTATTTATAAATCGGTTACCAGTCAAAAACGAAAGCTACGTAAGTAGAAATCTCTTTGGTAACAATACATCGGAATGTTAAAATGAATAAATAAGTAATAATTATGGTAATTTTCTTTCATTGGGGTGGGGACGTGTGAAGAAACAGTGGAATTTCTCTTATTTTTTTTCAAGTCTACACCTTGAAGAAGGAAAAACAGTCAATAAATACCCCCTTTTCCAAAGACCTACAAATTTCAACCCCCTCCCCCCCTCTTCCCAAAAAAAGCCACCACCGGACAATTACACCCATACGCACATACACACATTTTTAATACTTTTGTTCGTAATAACAAAAAAATCGTATTAAGTTTCTAAATGCATTATAAGTTTAAAATATTGCGTCAGTAGTGAATCTAGAACTTCAAGTGTGGAAGTTGTTTGCGACTTCACGAACTTAATTTGGATTTGCCGGTTATGGTCTCATTAATATTTACCACACCTTCATTCGATATTAGCTTCAGCTGAAAAAATTTCTGCTAGTGAAATTGTTGAAACTAAGGATTCAGGTTTTAACAATTGAGGCGTGCGGAACCAGGCGTAAAAATTGATGCCTACGGATTTTGAAGACATCGCCATAACATTATACCGCAAATCTATAACTATATAAAATTGAATGCACCTTTCCATTAAAAAAATGATGAAATTAAAGGCCCCTTTAATTTCTTCCTATCCCTCTTTTTGGGGTTACATATGACTGGTCCCTTATATAAGCCATTACCCTATCAAAGTCCGATGTTTTCCCATTCTTTTGTGTCTATCTTGAGAATATATAAAGAGAAACTCGAACAGCTAAAATAATCAGCAAGGCAAAATTTACATTAATGTACATACTAGAAATTCGTGTATTAACTTCTTATAGATTATTTTTTTATGGTGTACAGAAATTGACAAATATAATGCCCTCCCTTGTTAAAATGAGCATAGAGCATGAAATAAAAGAATTATTTCTTAAATTTAATAATCTTAACCGTATGTTCATTATTGCAGACTCCGTATGTTTATTATTTTAGACCAATCGATTAAAACAAAACGTTGCAATTAATATATTTTGACATTTTTCCAACAATATCAGGTGTGATTTTTTACATCTTCAAACGAGATACTAATATGCCAAGGTTTATATCTTTTTAAATCTCAACCATTTTCCAAACGACAGCTAAAAATTTGAGCCTGGTTAATTGTTACTCCGCAGAAGCAGATCGGAATCAGTTCTGACGTAGTGAGTAATCGCTTTAATCGTAATCATGTTCATTGACCATCCGGACGATGAATGCACATCATCATAATGATGTTTCGACATCATGATAATGATGTTCTGACATCATATAAAGATGTAAACCGAACCACACCATATAACGATGTTAGTACATAACATAAGGATAAGTTCACATCATATAAAGAAGTTTGCACATAATATAAAGACATCTGTATATAAGATAATTTGCACATCATATAAGACCATTTGCACATCATATAAGATAATTTGCACATCATATAATATAATTTGCACATCATATAATATAATTTGCACATCATATAATATAATTTGCACATCATATAATATAATTTCCACATCAGATAATGTCAAATTGTCATCATATAAAGGTGATTGCATATCGTATAAAGGTGATTGTACATCACATAATGCCGTTTCTACGTCGTATAAGGAAAGCATCACATAATATAAGGACTCAATCACATTACATAATGGAAAAAACACATCATTTAATGAATTGTGGACATGATATAAAGATGTTTGCACCTCATATAAATGTGTTTGGACAGCATATAAGGACAACTTCACATCATATAATGACAAGTGTACATCATATAAGGACAAGTTCACATCACATAATGACAAGTGTACATCATATAAGGATAAGTGCACATCATATAATGTCATTTGCACATCATATAAGGGTAAAATGACATCATATAATGGCAAATGAACATCATATAATGAGAAATGTCATAATAAGACAGTGTCGGCTTTCCCGTATAGTTTGGTCGTACCTTAACCCTCGGACTGATATCCCATTGGTTATTATTTCTACAGTACATCCTTATTTCCTCATACATGTATTCGATATTCCTACCGATCAGCAAACATGTCGTTAAAAATTGGTAAAAAGTCAAAATGGTAGGTAATTATTCTTTTTACTGTAGAGTTGGTTAATTGTTTGTGTATCTAGTTGTGTGAACGTACAAATGTAGTTACAGATAACATATTATTTTGTTTTCAGTTGACCTATTAACTTTTAATAGTTAGGCTCCCGAACTTACAATTTTTCAGGAATGAAAAGAACAGTTTTCTACTTTTTGTTATACCTCCTTACAGATAAAGATCTGATATATATTTAAAAATGTACGGAAAGTGTGAATATGAAAACAATGAATCAAACAAAATACCTGACAGGTTTTCCTGAACTGTTGAATTCAATTCCTCAATTTCCTTCTCCACTAGTGTCCTCACATTCTTTGCGGTTGCTTCAAAAACTTTCTTCATTTCTAATTCTATGTAAGCTTTTAAATGTTTGTTCAGATTCTTAACATCTAAATCAGCTTTTAATGTCGCTCCCAAATTATCCGTTAATGGCATGGTTACAACATCATTACAGGCGCCATCCTCACTACAGCTTTTTGCCCATACTGAGAGACAAACTATATATATAGCCAAGGAACACCATATCACTTGCAAAGATTTATACATATTTATGAAATTTACGTTTTGATAACTAGTTTTGTTTTGATAAATCCTTTGCTATTTTGTCAACACCCTACACCAAGCAAGGGTTTCAATACCGTTTGAAATTCTTCCGTTTGCCAACGTGTCATGATCCAAATGTGTTTTTATGTTATTCAATGCGCCTTTCCACTATTCACATATACGTCCCTCCTCCCTTAGCAACACACGACAATCTCACATCAAAGGTCAAACTAATCAACAAAATGTCAGCCATTAGAACATTATAAAATAAATAAATTGCTTCAAAAAATTGATAATGAGCAACTTGCAGTTCCTTGATAGAGTCCATGTGTTACTTTTTTTTGATAGAATCCGTGTGTTACAACAATATGATGTGAATAATAAGACATGAAAGATTGAAATGAGAAATAAATATTATGATATCTTGAAGAAAGTATGACCATTAATACAGAAAAAAACAAGAGGCTGTAAAGATTCTTTGTCGCTCACCTTGATCCATACACTAGGATGAACAAAATATCTTGTTTATTGCTGATCAATATTCTATTTACAGTTTCTCTCTATCTACTAAAGATTTTGCCCAAAACGCCAAAAAAATGAACAAAACTTGAGGGCAATAACTCCTTAATGAGTCATCTGATGATTTGATTATATTGGCATTTTTGTAAATCTTGTATCATGGCTATTATTTTTTGCTGTTAACAGTTTCTACTTTCTACAATGTACTTACCTATTATAATTTTCGGGAAAATTGTTTAAAAAAAGTCAAGAATCGTCATTTAAAGTCAATAACTCCTACAAGAAGTGATCCAATGGTTTCGGGCATGATGGACTGTTTATATCTTTTATTGCTGATCATAAATGCTCTTTATGTGTCTACCTATCTATAATGTAGTTTTCAAGATAACATACAAAGACATAAAAAAAAAAAATCATAAGTCTTCAGTTATATGGCAATAACTCATTAATGTTTGATGATCCATGCAATAACTTCGGTTGTTTGATATTTATGTAGATCTTTTTTGGCTTACTAATTATTATTTTTTTCGTTTTACGCTTTCTGCATATTATCATTATTTTTCGAAATAGCTGGCAAAACACGAAAATTTGTAAAATAAAAATCGTCATTTAAGGGCAATAACTCCTTAAATAGTCATCCATTGATTTTAGTTCACCTGGTAATTTTGTATAGATCTTTTTATTTCTGATTATTTTTGCTGTTTACAATGTCTACCTATCTACTGTAGTTTTCGAAATAATTTCGTTCCCTATTGTTGATATTCCTTTTTTGGACGGTGATGTTCCTTTGGCACCACGGTGTTTATATATCACAACTCGTTCGCTATGCCCGTGCCTGTTGTGATGTTTTGGATTTCAATGAGCGTAATCTATGTATTACTGGTAAATTATTAAGTCAAGGATTTCGTTACCACAAATTACTTAAAACCTTTACTAAATTATTCCATAGATATACAGATTTGGTTTTGAAGTTTGGTTGTACCTGTAGAAAACTTATTTCAAACAGGATAGCACACACTAATTGTTACACAGGTGTTGTTTACCAAGCCCGGAAACTTATATGTAGATACGATCCGGGTAAACTTATCGATCCTTTAAAATAAACTTATTCTAAAAGGTTACCAATTTAACACTGTAAGTAGATCTTTGAATATTGTTTTTATTGGTATTAATATTGATTTTATTATCAGTAAATTAAAATCAAACTAAATATTATTTCTTGGCATTGCACAAGGTCATGTTTTTCTCTGGCTGTTAATGACATCTTTACTCTAAATCTATTGGATGTTGGCTGTATAAAAAAGAAGATGTGGTATGATTGCCAATGAGACAACTCCTCAAGAGACCAAATGACACAGATATATACAACTACAGGTCACCGTACGGCCTTCAACAATGAGCAAAGCCCATACCGCACAGTCAGATATAAAAGGCCCCAAAATGACAATGTAAAACAATTCAAACGAGAAAACTAACGGCCTAATTTATGTAAAAAAATGAACGAAAAACAAATATGTAACACATAAACAAACAACAACTACTGAATTACAGGCTCCTGACTTGGGACAGGCACATACATACAGAATGTGGCGGGGTTAAAGATGTTAGCGGGATCCCAACCCTCCCCATAACCTGGGACAGTGGTGTAACAGTACAACATAAGAACGAACTATAAAAATCAGTTGAAAGAAGCTTAACTCATCAGATGGATAAAAATACAAATAATACAAATACAAGTGGACGTGGCCGGGTACTTGTACATCCAAACAACAAAAAGACACTAAGTACAGATCTGGTGTACTCGCAGTTACTGACAGCTAGTTCAAAGCCACTAACAACTAATAAAAAAAATCATGCATCTAAGGCTAAATGTACTGATTGATATTATAGTATTGGATGCATAATTTTTTTGTTTGCTGTTATTCAATTTGGCTTTGAACTAGCTGTCAGTACTCTCAGATCTGTTACAGTGCTTAGTGTCTTTTTGTTGTGGGGATGTACAAGTACCCTGCCACGTCCACTCTGTGTTTTTGTTAGATTTTTTTATATTTGTATCCATCTGATGAGTTAAGCCTTTTTCAACGGGTTTTTATAGTTTGTTCTTATGTTGTACTGTTACACCACTGTCCAAGGTTAGAGGAGGGTTGGGCGCCGCCACATTCTGTATGTAAAATAGAGAGTGCCTATCCCAAGTGAGGAGCCTGTAATTCAGTGGTTGTCGTTTGTTGCTGTGTATCATATTTGTTTTTCGTTCATTATTTTGTACATAGATTAGGCCGTTAGTTTTCTCGTTTGAATTGTTTTACATTTGTCATTTCTGGGCCTTTTATAGCTAACTATGCGGTATGGGTTTTACACATTATTAACCTATAGTTGTTAATTTATGTGTCATTTGGTCTCTTGTGGAGAGTTGTCTCATTATCAATGTTACCACATCTTCTTATTTTTATAAACACATGAAAATAAGCAAAAAACGTCTTTTTATGGCAATTATTTCTAAAAGAATCATGATCCAATGCTTTTGGTTATTTTTGATATTTTTGTAGATCTTGCATTGCTGATCATTTTGCCAGATTCTTCCAAACTATAAAGATTTTTGAGATAGAAGGCAAAACCTTGAAAAATTAGACAAAAATCGCCGTTTAATGGCATTTAAAAACTATCTTAAGGAGTCATGATTCTGATAATTTTAGTGAAATTTATATAAAGTAGGTAGATTTTGACATTCTGATCATTTATGTTCTTATCAGAATTTCCTTTTCTATTATATGATTTTCATGATCGATACAGTGTATCAGCCCATTTATGATTTAATCCTTATGCTCTATTTTAAGCTATGGCGGCCATGTTGGTGAAAATAGGAAGTAGGTAGTAGGTATATTGTGAAAAACATGAGATTTGTTTTTAGCGTACCTCCCTTTACCCCCCCCCCCTTTCCGCTCCCAGATCCGCCTTCGAAATGGTAGGCAAAAAACTAAAATTTGTTAAAAATTTTCATTTAAGGGTAATAACTCCTGTATAAGTTATCCAATGATTTCGGTCATTTTGGCATTTTTGTAGATCTTTTATTGCTAATCATTTTTGCATTAACCGTTTGTACCTATCTAATTTAGTTTTTGACATTATAGGCAAAAACATGAAGAAAATCGTCTTTCAGGAGCAATCACGTGTACTAATGAGTGATCTGATATTTCTAGTGAAAATAGAAAAGTAGATAGAGCTTGACGTTTTGATCATTTTTGTTCAGTTCAGATTTTCTGTATCTATTATGGTTTATGGTCTATAACATGTGAGGCAGTAAATGCAATTTCACTTGTATGTTCTATTTTTAGCTATGGTGGCTATGTTTGTTGACTGACCGGAATGAAAAACACAAACTTTATACTGGATTCCCTTAGGATCACTCAGGTCAAGTTTTGTTTAAATTGGTATAGGTGTTTCAGATAAGAAATATTTGTTTAAAAGTCTACGGACGACGACGACAATTAAAACGACGGACCCCAAATGATGACAATAACTCACGTAGCCTTATCACCAGGTGAGCTAATAGAAGAAAACAATTATTGTATACTTGGAATATTGCCCCTGACCCAGTTGAAATATGATTTAATAAAAAACGTATTTACGCATGTTAAATGCATGGATGTTGATAAATATGTAAACAAACACACATGGGTCAATTTGTAATTTACTTTGGATGAATTTCCCACGCATTCTGCGATCTACTATAAATTTGTACTTCTTAACTCCGCTTCGCATGTAAAGAAAATTGTTTACTAGAGCTTCCCTCTGCATTGCGTCACACACAACCTTTAAGTTGTTGTCCTCTAATTTGGGCGAATTTCCCACACTTTTAACATCCCATTTTATGCCGGACGTGCACCAAACGTACAGAGAAAATTTACTAAATAAGTCCGTATACGTTAGGTGCACGCAGTGCACGCAAGTGGAAAGCTAATCAATCGTAAGACGCGCGTTGCATAAGTTTGATGTACGTCGAAATGCAAAGGTATACGCTTGGTGAACGCTTTAACTCCAGGAATTTTTTATGCAGCATAAAAATTTTCATCTAGCTCTAGCGTTTATCAAGCGTATACCTGTTCGCTACACGCACGTATTACATACGTTACAAGCGCGTTGAAAAACGCTACCGATAAGTTTGAGACACGTTTTTTACTTGGACGTATGCGGGGCGTGTTTGTAACATACACCTGGCGTAGTTTCAGCGCTCCGTGAACGTATAAAACGCACCCGTGGCGTATCAAAAACGTATTCTGACATTCAACGAAACTTGCTCTGACATTTATAGTGGCATATGTCCGTGAATTTGAATAACCAAGTGCATGTATAAAATGGTATAAAAGGTTGGGCAGAGTTTAGTTTGACACTTGCTATAATGAAATTGCCTGGAGAGAATCAGGAGAGCATCTTCTAGCCATGGCTCTACAACATGTAGACCAAATTCACCTTAACATGCACCAAATACTTACAAGGCATTAGAAGGCGTCGAAGACGTCAGCGAAGACGTCTATGGCAGTAGCCGTGGGTATCACGGAGAAAGCAGTTCGGATTATATGACGAACTATTAGTTGAACTTAGACAAGAAGATCAGAGCAGTTTCAGGAATTTTATGAAAATAGAGTCACGTCCTTAAATTATCAATAAGCAATTGCAAGCTGTAATACGTGACCAAGTACACAATATTGAATCTAGAAAAGTAAATAAAATAAAATTGTATTACACTATGAATGTAAACAATTATAGTTTTAAGTTTAACTGTTCCGTTTTGTATATTCAAAGAGAACCGCTAGAGCCTGGGCTAAAACTAGCCGCAACTCTTCGCCATCTTGCTGCTTGATC